ACTGTACAGAATCGTCCGGTTCTCTCTAGAACCAGACGATTTCCGATTTTCGGGGCGATCCGGTTCCTTTTTCACTATTTCCGAGTCGAACCGGGCGAGTCCGGTTCGACTCGGCGTTTTTTAAAACGCTGGTGTGAACTATAGAAAATCCCGTACATATATCTTGCTCAAACTTGACTCATTTGAGATACTGTAATTGGAAACTAACGATATCCCCATGCGTGATTTAATGAGACATTGCTGTTCAACCATATAAAATCACATGATAACTTATTGGTGACAAAAAATTTAAAGAATAACATAAAATGTTCAAATTGAGACAGTTCGGATAATAACAATAACATACGTTGGTGGTTTAAGATAGTTTGAGAAACATTTATACCTCATGTTGGTTTTCTTAAAAATTATTATACGGGAAATTTATCAATACACACCTAATATTTGAAGATCAAATTTTGAACTATTTAACATTTTACCCTAAATGTATTTTGACAAATTGCAAAACCTATTTTGATGTGTGATTTGATGGCTTATTCGAAATTCGATGAAAAGAAAGATGGGCAATTTGAAATTTGGTAAAAAATTATGGTTAAAATGTTAAATAGTTAAAATCATTGGTGTAGTTTGATAAATTCCCCTTCTTGTTTGGCATCTCAAAATTTGGTTGCTAGACGCAAAGTTTCTCAAACACTAAAGCATTTCCCAAATTGGCAGCTGGAAAAGCTAAAATGAAAGGAAGTTCACATTTCTCAAGTAATGAAAATGTGGATTTCTACCGAAACCGTGGAAATTGAAAAATGGGAAATACATATTTCTCATTTTTTGGCTCATTTCATCATTTTGAAAATATTTACAAAATTTAATTTTTTTTTTCTTCTGAAATCAGATCAAGATGAATTTTGAAGGGTATATGTGCGCCTAATTGGATAGGTTTTATAAAAATATAAAAAATAATTTATATTAAATAAAATGACCAAACTACCCTCAAAGTTTTGAGGGCAAAATGGTCATTTTGTTTTCACAAACTATTATTTAAAGGAAAAAGTTTTTATAGAGTCGAGGCTCTAAACAATCAAATTTGAGCCTACCTAAAAAATTTCATTAAAAGAGGTTGTTTTTGTTGAGGATTGATGCCTTGATACCTTGTATTATGAGGAAATATATCTACCAAATGTGAAGTAAAAAGGTATTTTGATAATTTGTGCCATCTACCTGGGATTGGCGATGGGGGTTCTTTTTTAGGGTTAAAGAAAAAACGTAGATTTCTTTGTAATAAAAGATAATTCTTTTTCTAGGATTAAAAAAAAAACTTAGATTTCTTTGTAATAAAATAAAACAGAGATGTATGAGAAAGAGAGCTATTGTAACCCTATTATTCATTACCAGTAAATAAGCTCTCATCTCCCATGGACGTAGGCACGTTGCCGAACCACGTATATATTTATATTGTGGTTGGTTGTCTCTTTTTTTTGTGTTTGTTTATTCTTTATTGTTTTTGTGGATTGCTTTTAGGGTTTTCTATTGTTTTGATGCTCAAATATCTTCAAATTAATCATCTCGACATCAAGGTGCATAGACAAGAGAAAAAAATAGATTTCAAGTTTTGGAAATAGTGTATTTTGTAATGCATTTTTGGACTGTCAAGTTTCAAGATTTTCGAGTTTTCATAGATCTATTGATCTATACTAGTTTTTAAGCTTAAACTTTATAAATAGAAATAAAAATATATTTTAAGGCTATCACAAAGATTTTCAGTATTAAAACCACATTCTCGACACTATTTGAAGGTAGGCTCTAAATTGATTGTTTGGATCCTAGGCTGTATACAAACCACACCCTTATTTAAATGTTATTTATAGGTACAAGTTATTTAGATGTACAAACAATTGGAAATTTGAATCCATCGCATATATACAAAAAAAAAAAATCAAAATATGCTTTGACAGATGATATTATAGTGTTTTAGGTGATCTATAATGTGGAGTTTCAGGGGTGTTTCTGTTATTCTATTTTTCTTCAAAATATTTTATATCTTAAGTGCTTGAGGAGGACAACCATATGTGCCCAAGATTTTAGCTCAATCCAATGTTTAGAAAACAAAATAAAATTGAAATATTTACACAAGCTCTTGCCTAATCTGATTTTTTTTTTTTCTTTTATGTAATAGAGAAAGTCTTTTGCGCTGGACATGGATGAGCTATAATAGTGAAAATTCATTCATTTAATAAACATTACTATCTCACTAATGAAAATTTTAATAACACTTAAAATTGGCTAATTTTCAGAACTCACTAAATATATATATTTTTAAATATCCATAATTCTAGATTGGTAGCATTTTCTATTACCAGGTAACCGATTTTATGCTTTCTATATTTCAGACTTGAAAATCTCCTGTTCAGATTTCAAGTTTCAGTTGCCAAACAACACCTTACTTTGACCCGCTGAGACGGAAATTTTTCGATTTGTAATAAAATAAAATATTTAATAATGCATCTCTCCATGTTGATTTCATAACTTTACCTCTGTAAAACCCTACATCGATTATTCCTCTTGGTATAATAGACCAAGAGACTAAAAGCCATATAAAAGAAAACACTAATCTCCATTTCCCATGCACTCTCTTAAATTACGAATTTAATTTGGACAGTATGCGGTGCTCCCATGGTGATAATATGGATTTACTCCCTACTACCATGGTGATTTACTCGCTGGTCATTTTAATATGAAAATTTGAGAACCACTTAAGAATTACTAGGTAATTATTTAAAAAAAAACCAAATTTTGAGTTCTTTAACACTTAGATATCACCTTTTAAAATTTGGAAAATCTCTATTGAGCTTTTCTTTTCAGGTGCACAAAGTGTGCAATTAGAACGTTTTTATTAAGATTAATTTATTAATTAAAGTGGTTATATCACCAAAAATTTGAGGTCCTAAAATTAGTTAACATGATATTTTAGCCGAGGGAGTAAATCAAAGTTATACTCCCGCAGGATCATTGTGCCTTTTGGCTCGTACTTTACTTTTCCTCACATCGAGTGCATCTCCTTATAAACCATTTCGTCACTATGGGCCAATGACAGAACTAATTAAGAAATATCAGGAAGCCTGCACATATAGAAATGCATGCCTCTCAATAAATTTATATTTGAAATAAAATTTGATCTTAATTTGTAGACAATATATAATCTTTAACATAGATATCATGCATACGAATAATTAACAGGAAAAATTTATATAGAGCAGAGGCTTTAAACAATCAAATTTGAGCTTAACACAAAAATTTCATTAGAAGAAGTTGTTTTGATGCTCAAATATATTCAAATTGATCATCTCAGCATCAAGATGCATGAATATGAGAAAAAAATGGATTTCAAGTTTTGAAAATAGTGTATTTTGTAATGCATTTTTAGACCATCAATTTTCAAGATTTTTAAGTTTTAATAGATCTATCGATCTACATTATTTTTTAAGCTTTAAACTTTATAAATAAAGATGAAAATATACTTTAAGGCTATCACAAATATTTTCAATATTGAAACTACATTTCTCAACAGTATTTGAATGTAGGCTCTAATTTGATTGTTTAGAGCAAGACTCTATACAAACCGCACCCATAAATAAAAGAAATTTAAAACTATAAATAATAATTATATTAAAAAGGCATTTATATGTGTTAGTTTTAATTATTTTTTTTGATACTCCTCTTATGCACATGTGAGTAGGATGTTATAAGATCATCATTAAATTTGACAAATACTTTTAGAAAAATTATAAGATGAGTGAGAGTTGATTTTTTTAGAGATGTGTACTAAATTTGATGGGGATCATTCTTGTAGGATATTACACATTGTATCAATGCGTTGTATAAATGTGGCCTAGCGTTGTATAAATGCGGTCTAGTCCGCATAATTATTCTTTAAGAGTAATTAATCTACGCGTTTTAGCCCCGTTAACTTAGCGTCATTTTAGGGCATTGTCCTTCCTCTATATAAACCCTATTCTCAGATTCGTTAAGAACACGAAAGAGATTTGCTGGACTCGACTTTCAGGTATTTTTAGGGTTTCTCTTAGTTTCAGTTCAGTCTCTTGTCTGCTTGAGATTCAGGTATTTTGTAAGGTTTTTCTCTTTCCATTTTGATTCTTAATCGTTGTGGTTTTCTCTCACGACATTGGTTAGGTTTGCTCGAGTGTCATGTATTTTTATTTGGTTTCTCTTTTTCCAATCTAGTTCTTAAACATTAGGGAGTGTTTTTGTTTTTTTTTTTACAGAACTCTGGGTTTGCTCGAGTTTCATGTATTTGTATTTGGTTTCTCTTTTCCCAGTTTGGTTCTTAAACATTGGGGTGTTTTTTTTCAGAACCCTGGGTTTGGTCTTTTGGCGTTTCTCTTTTCCTGTTTCCCTTTTGATCTATGGGTTATTGTGGGTTTCTTGTGGAGAAATCAGGTTTTCTTTATTTGGGTGCTTCAAATGATGGGCTTGTTTTGTATTTATTTGTTTTTTTTGTTGTTCTGTACTTATGGGGTTTCCTTTAAAGAGCCCTTAGCTCTGGTTTCCGTCTATTAAATTTTATGTTTTAGGGTTTCATTATTGAACTGGTTTCGGTCTATTAAATTTTTTGTTTTAGGGTTTCATTATTGATCTATGAGTTCTCTAGGGTTTCTTACTGAACCATTAGCGTTACTTTCTAGGAGGACCTCATGTACTGAACTATTACGGTTACTGTCTAGGAGGTCCTCATGTTATAGCCTGTCGATTTGTATTGCTTCATTTGATTGTTGAAGTTCTAGGGTTTCTTAGGAGGACTAGGGGCTCCTTGAGAAGAACTATGATTACATCCAATTATTCACTGTTTTGTTTTACTGTATATGCTCTTGGAAACAAACTGTTCATTGAATAATTTGGCTTATTTTATTTTTCTTCAGTTTTACTTATTTATTTTTTATTTGACAGTTATCACTTCCGTGATCTTCATTACTTGCATGTGTTTATTTATTTATTTATTTTTGTAATTTTGCCTCTTCGTTTTATACTCTGATTCTTCTATTTAGGCTAGTTGCTCTTCATTTCAGGATTCCGAGGATGAGGCCTGTCTTTTGTGGTAATTTTGACCATGAAACTCGCCACTCTGAGCTGGAGCGCCTTTTTTCCAAGTATGGAAGGGTTGAACGTGTCGACATGAAATCAGGTAGCAGTTTATTCCCTTTTTGCTGATTAATTGGGGCTCAATTCTGGTCCTTTGTGTGGCTATGTTGGTTTTTCATGTTTCTTACTAATTCTGTTGGTGATAATCTCCTGTCAAAGCATATACGGTTACAAGTTTGATAGTGCACTTGTCTTAAGTTTCCAATAGCTGTGGATCATCAAGAAAAGAAAAGCCTTTAATAAATGTGCCTGTCGCTTTAATCTTTTGAAATATTCGGAGTTGAAATTGTGCCTGATATTTACTATTGGTCTCTTTGAGGACTGTTTAATTTGGAATGTAATACATGGAGATTGCATTCTCCTTCATGTATATTTTATCATTTGTCCTTACTTTGTTGGGGTGAGGTGGAAAATTAAATCCTTTACCTGTAGCGGATTAGATTATTGTTACATCACTTTGAAGCCCATTTTGGATGACAAATGCTTTGGCACTTCATGGTAAAGGCTTGTGGTTTACTTTTAAATCATGTTCTGGCTAAATGTTTTTGAAACATGATGTTGAGGTTGAACAAAACTGAGATTCTAACAACCTGAGGAAAATGTCAATGTGCTGTTGCGGTTTCTGAACTTCCAGTTAAACCTGTATTTCTTGTTTTTTTTAATTGGCAATGAAATTTGTTAACTAAGAAACAATGTATGACCTATGAGGAGGTGGCCAAAGTTTAAACGCCACAGAATCGCAAGGCAGGACAGCCAGGAAAATGGTGATATCAGATGACGCAATGCACCATGAAGACCCAAGGGACTTGCTATTTTATATTAGCATCCCAAATCCCTCCAGAATCAATTAAAGGATTAAAGCCCAAGTGGTGATGGAGCTACTGTGATCTTCTCTTGATTTTACTTCCCTACCATGATCCTAATGTGATATTTGCTTCCAATCCTAATTACCCAGTGCATGATGGGGATGCGCATATGCCATATTGTTCGATGCCATCTTCAAAGTTGTACTCTGTGCATGCGGGTACGCCTGCATGTGTGCCTGCATGTGTCAGACAGGCAGGCAACATACATCCCATTGAAATGTCAGTTTCTTGATTGTGGTTCTGGCGTAGATGTGCGTGGTTAATTAAACAGGAGAGAGAGATTTTTTTTTTCGTCGCTTTCTAATGTGTTTTAATGAGAGTTTGGAATGTCAAAAGCGCTATGAAATTTTTATTTATATAAAATGTAAGGTTCAACACACTATATTTATTTCTACCTTATGGAGATCTTGATGAATTGTTTTGTTTTCTTTTTATTTCGTCCCAGCTTTTTGAAATGAATTTATTTATTATAAATTATTTATATAAATGCGTTTATTTCTTATTTACCAAAAAATCGGAAATGGATTTTTTTCACAAATTAATGAGTTTGTATTTTTTCTGTTTTGCTAATATTTGACTAGATTTGTCTCTTTCCTATTGATTCTGAAATGCATTTTTCATTGAGGCTTTTGAACTGTTATTTTGATCGGACACCATGCCATTTTCTATCAAATCCTTCCATCAACAGCACAATAGATTGCTAGTGATTAGTGTGCTACTTGTTTTTACTCAATTTTGCTTTCGTTTTATATTTAATGCAACCTAAGTAGGTTTTAAGGTTTCGGTATCATAAAAAGACTTCATTTATAGTCCTCAGTCTTTCTTTGAGTCAAGGACTTTTACTATAGTACTATACTTGAAAATGCTATTGCTTTTTTTATATATAAAAAAAACTGCCACCTCAATGGACAGAGTCACCCATCTATGGCTTTTTAGGATTGGGTTTGCAGCAAGGACATTTGTTGGAATGAAGTTGGTGTCCGTTCTGTGCTTCATATCCATATACAGTGTCTGCTAAAAGCCATGTGAAAAACGATAAAAAAAAAAGAAGAAATTTCAAGGGTTTTTTTATCAAAATCTTGGTATTAAATGTTTGTTTTGACGCAGGAACACTTAAGAGCAACCGAGCTCTCAGTGCCCCTACCAAAACCACCCACCACACTGAAGCAAACCATTACGCCAGCACATCTGCCTTCATCTTCTTCCATTCAATGGCATTCTGCATTTCTTTCACCTGAATCATCCATAATCCACAACCTTAGTTCAATTCAACCATATTGGTGAAAAGTTGCCATGACAGACTTTACTGAGGAACTGGTTCCATCATCATGCCTCCTTATTGTTCGTAAAATAAAAAAGCTTCATGAATGGCTACACATATTCAGCGATGTCCTGTCTCTTATCATCTCGGCTTTAGTTTTATGATACCATTTAGTTCATCATCATGGAAGGCCTCTCCTTACCTCATCCTTTGTGCATCAGGCCTTCTCATATAAGCAGGTGTTGTATACTTCTGTTGCTATCTGGGAAGCAAGTCCTTATTTGCTAGACTCCCTCATTGATTCATAAAGAATGGAAGAGAACAAGATAAAATATGCCAAAACTTTTGCAGGGTGCATTTCTAACTTTTTGTAATTTTTATTTTGTGTTGCAGGGTTTGCTTTTGTTTACTTTGAGGATGAGCATGATGCAGCTGATGCCATCCGTCATCTTGATGACCTGCCTTTTGGGTACCACAGGCGCAGGCTCTCTGTGGAGTGGGCGAGGGTGAATTCCTAACCTGGCGTTCTCTTTTTATTATTCTGTTTTCTTTTTTTTTCCATTTTTTTTGGAAAGTATCCCATAGAAGACTATGGAAAGCTAACATCTGGTAGTCCTAACCTGGTGTTCTGTTTTTATTATTCTTTTTCATTTTTTTTTTTTTTAAGTTTTATTGGAAAGTATGCCATAGAGGACTATGAAAAGCTAAAATCTGTTAGGGGCATATGTTGAAGGTCCCCAACTGTGGTCCATCTCTCCGACTGTGTGGTCTGTGACAGTGATCTGTGAGATTTGGAGATGTCCCCAACTGTGGTCCATCTCTCTGCCAATCATTTAATTTAATGGGCATGACCTGATGGATGCTTCTCCAAATCTATAGTCAAAGTCTGTTGTACTATTGTAGGCTTTCCCTTTATTACGAGCTCACGTTCACGTTCACGTTCACGTTCACGTTCCTGTTCATGTTCCTGTTCATGTTCATGTTCCTGTTCCTGTTCCTGTTCATGTTCATGTTCGATAAGCTTTCCTCAATTATATGCGAAGGTCTAATTAACTTTCTCATCTTCAGCATGGAGATCGTGGTAGGTATCGTGATTCTAGGCCCGCTGTGAACATGAGGCCCACGAAAACACTGTTTGTGATAAACTTTGATCCCATCAACACAAGGATTCGGGACATCGAGAGGCATTTTGAACCTTATGGAAAGGTCTTGCATGTGCGGATCAGAAGGAACTTCGCATTTGTTCAGTTTGAAACACAGGAAGAAGCCACCAAAGCTCTCGAGAGTACAAACATGAGGTAAGCAACCTGGAACATGTGCATATCTTATGAAGTTGGGTTTATGAATCTTTCCTGATCTCCAAAAAGCAACAGTTGTACAACAGTTTTACATAATAAAAGTAGTTGCCCCCTCCCCCCCCTCCCCACACAGAAAAAACGGAACAAAAAAAAGAAGAGAATCTTTGATCTCCGACAGTTTGGTAGTTTTGTGTTTGATTTCATGTGAATTTCTCATGAAATGGATTTACATTTTGGATATGTATTTGATTCTCTTCCAAAGAAATTATCTCTAATTGGGTTCTTCTAAGTTTCTAACCATGGTTTGATTTCATGTGAATAAAGAAATTATCTCTAATTGGGTTCAGCTAAGTTTCCACAATCATTGTGAGAATGAACAGTGGTTTCTATGTTATATATCAATATATACAAGTTGTGTATATATGATTTCTGGATAACTCTTACTGGATCAATTATCGGAGAAGAATAAGTGATACTTTTTGTTGGATCCATTCACTTACACAATACACTGGCTGTTTATGGCTATCTCATGATATCTCTTATTGGGTTTTTTGCTTAGTTTCTGACTTGCTTCTGTGCATACTTCTCGGCAATGGTGCAGCAAGATACTTGACAGGGTTGTGTCAGTTGAGTATGCATTGAAGGATGATAGTGAGCGAGAGAGGCGCGACAGTCCAAGAAGGGGTTATGGGAGGGCAAGCCCGCTCTATGGTCGCTCTCCTAGCCCTAGCTATCGCAAGGGCCCTGCAAGACCAAGCCCTGATTATGGGAGGGCACGAAGTCCAGTTTATGACCGATATGAAGCTCCATCTGCATATGGGAGAAACCGTAGCCCTGAATATGGAAGTTATCGAAGGTCAGGGATCTTTCCTTCCGGCTCTTTGTTTTAATTTGATTGTGCTTGCTATCGCTTTTAAAAAAGTATATATAGCTAGTTAGCACTTGGTTTTTGATCATGGAATTTTTATGTGGTTTACTGCTTAAAGAGGTCTTCAGAAAGAGTGTTGTCTAGTTATCAGGAAATTTAAAAAAACCACATTTCTTTTGTTTCAATTTATGAAAGGGCCATTCGCTGAAAACTTCGGAGAATATTATTTTGAGCTATGAAAGGAAAAACAGTTTTTCTCTTTGAAAATCATAGCAATCTGCATGAAATCAGAAAATTTTGAAAAATTGTCACGTTGAGAGTTAAAGATTTCATTGCTGATGGTGTATTCCATTTTAACAGTCGATCGCCGATCAAACGCTCGAGGTCATGAGGAAGGAGGGGGGGGGGGGGGTTGTAGAAGCCGCCGCTACTGAGTTTCTTCTTATACATGTCAATTATCTTTTTATTCACTACCACTTTTTTCTGTTTTTGTAGTATACGAGGTATAAGATTAGATATCTTTGTATAGTCTTTGGATGTGAGATGAAATCATTTGTGAACTCATTTGGTTTTCTATTGGGACATGAAATATGAAATGGTGGTTTTGGATACTCTTCGTTTTGTACTTCAGAAATAATCATTTAGTGATGTTTAGGTGGTTTCTTAAATTTCAGAATGAAAGAATATATATGATTAGTCATGTTTAGCAAAGTATACGAATAAACTATTTATTTATGGAAATGGAAAAGGGTAAAGTTTCTATATCAGGCTTTAAACAATCAAATTTGAGCCTACTTCAAAACTTTCACAAGGAGAGGTTGTTTTGGTGCTCAAATATCTTCAAAATGATCTTCTCGATATCAAGATACATGAATATGTCAAAAAAAATGGATTTCAAGCTTTAGAAATAGTGTATTTTGTAACGTATTTTTTAATTGTTAATTTTTAAGATTTTTTAGTGTTTGTAGATCTGTTGATCTATATTAATTTTAAATTTTTAAACTTTATAAATAAATGAGAAATTATATTTTGAGACTATCACACAGATTTTCAGTATTGAAACCACTATTTGAAGGTGGCTCTAATTTGATTGTTTAGAGTCTAGGCTCTATATAAACGGCAAGTTCCAATTCAATTAAACATTCAAATTAAGGCGCAATTCAATTAAACATTCAAATTAAGGTGAAATTCAAAAGTCTAGTGGAATTTTTTTTGATATTGAAAAATGATCAAATTTAATAATCTTAACTTTCAGATGCATGGATTAAAAAGAAATGACTAAAAGTCGTGAAAATAGTACACTTTGTGATGTGTTATCTATATCGGCAATTTTCAATGGTCATAAATCTGTTTGATCCAGTTTAAAAAACAGATCGGTGACTCGGATCGGGCTTCCAAAAAATTGATCCGGATCGGTCAATCGGCGATGTGGATCGGAAATCGGGTGAATCGGTCAGAATAAAGCTTAAAAAAAATCCGAAAAAATTATTAAAATTCATTATAAATATTGTTTTTTAGGAATTCAATAAGAAATGAAGGTACTCCATTAAGAATTTTCATGTTTTTGAATGAATATGCGAATATTGATATGTTCTTTCCCTGCATGAACCGCCATTCAGCATTTAATTTACATCACACAAAAGGATAAACATAGAATTATCATGGAATAAGTATATCAACATACATGGACTACAATAAAGCCTAAAATTAGTAACATATGATCTAAAAATAAAATGATAGACGACATTATTGTTCTTCTTGGTCACGTTGGTGCCATTGATTGAATTTGTTTAACAATTCATTGATTCGATCTAAAAACGAATCATTGATATTAACAGGCGTCTGACTATTCCCAAATCCCTGAGTGGTAGTGTTTTGTTGTTCCCAATCTAAAATCCCCGAAGATTGTCCATCCTTCATGCTCACCTACACTGTTGCTGTTGGGACTCGATATGTGAATAATATGGCTGGGATAGGGTGAGCCTCATAATCATCATCTCTCTCATTTTCTCTTTGAATAATATGGATTAAAAAATAATAATAAT